ATCGACTTGAGCGAGCGGTTGATGTAAACATTCCACGTCCGCTTCGGCTTGCGGTGCGACCTCTTGGCGCCCTTGCTGCGTCTCGCCGAGGAGCTCTTCGGAGTGGCCATGACCTTGCTTGCTTTAGGTTGGGTTGAGTTGAGTTGCTTGTGTCGCTGAGATGCTCTGCGGGAGCAACCCAAAAAAAAAACGAGAAGAAAACGCGGAGGAAAACGAGGCAATGGGGAGTGCCAGCGGAAGACACGGCAAAAAGTCGTCGCAGCGGCAAAACGAGAACGAGAGCAAGGAGCGCGCGCCCACACACACACACACACCACCCGCACCACAATCAGACTTTCTCTATGCTTCACGCGCAGCCCAACACACAAGGACCACGCGCAGCACCGCGAACCACACAAGTTGCGGAACCTCGCGGCGACAAGACGGGGGCGGGGCGGAAAGGCCCAATCTCAAAAATAAAATAAAACGGGGTGTATCTAGGTGCCTGGGAAGACAAACAAAAAAACACGTAAACCCGGCACAGCGTCTAGCTGGAGGCGTGAGAAACCGCCTTGGTGCCCTCCGCCATCGCGTGCTTTGCCAGGTCGGCCGGTAGCACAAGGCGCACCGCCGTCTGCAGCTCGCGCGCACCCAACGTGCGCTTCTTGTTGGCACGCACAACCGTGGCAGCCTCGGACGCAATGCGCTCAAAGAGATCGCTCACGAACGAGTTCACGATCTTCATTGTCCGGCTCGTCATCGACATCTGGTCGTTGATCGACTTGAGCGAGCGGTTGATGTAAACATTCCACGTCCGCTTCGGCTTGCGGTGCGACCTCTTGGCGCCCTTGCTGCGTCTCGCCGAGGAGCTCTTCGGAGTGGCCATGACCTTGCTTGCTTTAGGTTGGGTTGAGTTGAGTTGCTTGTGTCGCTGAGATGCTCTGCGGGAGCAACCCAAAAAAAAAAAAAACGAGAAGAAAACGCGGAGGAAAACGAGGCAATGGGGAGTGCCAGCGGAAGACACGGCAAAAAGTCGTCGCAGCGGCAAAACGAGAACGAGAGCAAGGAGCGCGCGCCCACACACACACACACACCACCCGCACCACAATCAGACTTTCTCTATGCTTCACGCGCAGCCCAACACACAAGGACCACGCGCAGCACCGCGAACCACACAAGTTGCGGAACCTCGCGGCGACAAGACGGGGGCGGGGCGGAAAGGCCCAATCTCAAAAAATAAAAATAAAACGGGGTGTATCTAGGTGCCTGGGAAGACAAACAAAAAAACACGTAAACCCGGCACAGCGTCTAG